CCCCCCAGACTTCTCTAGTATCCCTAAGAATACTTGTACCACTAATTGAGAAACACTGAACTAAAACAGAGGCTATGTCTACACTTGTGGGTTCTTGCGCAAGTACTGCCATTCTTGTACAAAAAGCTGCAGTGTCCACACTGCCTGCCTGCTCTTGCGCAAGGAAATTTACAGGATGGTGTGGTAAGAGAGGGCTTCTTGCGCAAGAGCTACGCTCTTTTTTAACAGGTGTAAGCCCTCTTGCGCAGGAGCTCTTGCACAAGAGGGCAGTGTGGACTATCGGCAGGGGTTTCTTGTGCAAGAAAGCCCTATGGCTAAAATGGCCATCAGAGCTTTCTTGCGCAAGAGAATGTCCACACTGCCACAAGCGCTCTTACAAAAAAGCACAGCTCGCACATGGCAATGTGGACGTTTTCTTGCGCAAGAAGCCGCGAGTGTAGACATAGCCCCAATGTTGCCAGAGTTGGCCATGTTGTGGTTCTGCATATCACTGACTTGCTCAATAATTGAGAGGCGGTTGATTGGTCATTGACAGGGCTCGACAAATTATAGAAAACCCTACTCGCCAGACAAAAAAGGGACTCACCCCCCCATCTCCCAAAAAAGTGTTTTTTTAATTGCATAAATTCCTAATAAGAATAAGAACAGTAATTGTTAATATGTTCTTAATAAATATCACCAAGTTATTAATAAATATCTTATAAATGTCTACCTTTTCCCTCTGCTGCCATGTCTCCTCCCCTTGCTCCATCAGCTCCCCTGGTGCATGCTTCCCCCCAACCTCTCACTCTCCTCTGTCCTGTCTCCTGCCCTTCTCACTGCCCTCAGCCTTCCTGAGAGCTGCCCCCCTCCGCCAGCCCTCCTCTCCCTCCTGTGCCCAATCCTCCAGTAACCCCACTCTGATCATGTGAGCTACCCCTCCTCGTCCCCTCTTCTAACACCTCCCTCTACACCTGCCCTGCCTCTCTCCTCTAGTGCTGGTTCATCCCCTGCAGGTGCCAGCCCTTCTGCTTCATCCCCAGAATCTCCTGGCACCTGCATCCTCCTGGTGCCTCTCATTGCCCCTTCCCCTTTGCCCTCTTTTTCCCTGATGCCCACCCCCTCTGCCTCCATTGCCCTCATGACCCTGTGCCCTCACACATGCATTGCTTCGTCTCCACCTTCCTCGTGCTCACCCCTTCTTTCAAGCCTTCTCCTAGCATCTTCCTCTCCCCCTTCTAGCCCCCAGTGCCCTTACCCTCTCCTCTCCCACTGACACCTCCCTTCCTACCCTTTTCCTCAATGTCTCCACTTGGCCCCCTGGGATTTGTCTCTCCTGCACCCCTGTTCCTTGGTGCTTTCCCCTTTCTTCTTCTCCTGACCTCCTCCCCTCCCCTCGGCACAAGCCCCTTCCCCATTTTTTCCCCTTACCTCCTCTTCCCACAGTCCAGCCCAGCCCCTTTCCCTCCCCCAGGGACAGCTCTAGGTTTTTTGCTGCCCCAAGCAAAACATTTCCCCCCACCTTTTTGTTTTCTTTACACGTTTGCATTTTGCAATGGTTTTTTTGTTTTTCATTTTTGTCCTGGCATTTTAGCCCTATAAATAGCACATAGCATTTTCATTCATTTTTTTCCATAAAGGCAAAGGCGCTTCAAGTGAACTCCCCCTTTCATTCGCTGCTGGGTCACAGCAGCCTTTTCCCTGGCCTGTGAAGCCCCTCCCTATGGACAAGCACCCCTCACTCCCGACCCACAGGGGAAACAGGGTGCAGAGACAGCACAGAGCCAGAGGGGTGCAGAGAACAGTGGGGGGGAGGGGACAGGGGTGGCGCGGGGAATGGGAGGCACAGAGCCAGAGGGACGCAGGGATCGGTGAGGGGGGAAGGTGAGCAGGGTGCGGTGGAGGCGCCGGGAATGGGAGGGTCAGAGGGATCGAGGTCTAGGGGCAGTGCAGGGAACGGGCAGCACAGAGCTGGGGGGGCAGGGTTCGAGGGGCAAGGGCGGCGCAGAGCCAGAGGGAGAGCAGGGGATGGGGGGTGCAGGGGCGGCATGGGAAATGGGCGGAGGGAGCCAGATGGGGCATGGCGCGGGCGCAGCGAGCCGGGCGGTCAGCAGGGAGCAGTCTCTCGCTGGCAAGGGGTTGGGGCCATGGCAGGACTGGAGCCGGCGGGGTGGGGCGAGCCGAGCTGTAACGGCCCTTTAAAATTGTCTGACAGCGCCCCGCCACTTCGCGCTGCGCTCTGCTCCTCCACCGGATCGGATGGGGCGGCACCGCCTGTAGTATGGGCTTCGGCCTGCGCGTCACAACAGCCCACTGGGCCAGTCCGCCCCTGCACTCGCCAGCTGGTAAAATCTACTTGCCGCGGGCAAGTGTATTTGTCGAGCCATGGTCATTGAAGTACAAACTTTATTCTAACAAGAAGGTTTGAAAGAGATGTAGATCATTCTCCAAAGCTAATCTCAAAAGGTGAGCCTCTCTTTGTGGTTCACACAAGTGTGATGCTGTCTGTAACAGCCTATGTTAGGCACATTTTTAACTTTTAGAAGTCCTCTCGAAAGCTATGCACGTGGACAGCTGCATTTGCAAATGAATCTGCATTGTGTATTAGTTTGTCTAGCAGAGAAGTATTTTAATGTGATTTTGATGTTCTGTTATTTTTTTAAGGATTGCATTTGTATCTAAGCCATTATATTCAAATTCCGAATGTTACATTTTTAATACCCCAGCATCAGGGTTCTCTCTACGGTGCACGTGCCCATGCAGGTGTGCATCAAGAATTTGTGTCCTGCGCACCTTCTTAGCAGAGATGGCTCAGCTGCTCTGGGGTAGGGTCCCCATGATGGGGAACTGCCTGCCCCCAGAAGCAGCTGAGCAGTCACCACGCAGCTTTGGTCTGAGCTTCAGCCCTTCCTCAGGACTGGAGCTGCGGCCAGGGTGGGCTGCATGGTATCTGCCAAAGCTGGAGCCTGGGGTCCTGATTGCAGTACTAAAAATAGTACCATGGCCCGGAAGCAGCCACGCAGTGCTGGCCCCAGCTACTCTGGGGCTGCCTGGCGTGGCGGGAGTGGGGCCAAGGCCACCCACAGTGCTATTTTTAGTTGGGAGTGTTTCTGGGGCTACCCATGGAGCGCTTCTGGGGTGGGGACCATGGTGCTAAAAATAGCATCCGGGGCAGCCCTGGTTCAAGTCCTGTCACATGGGGCAGACACCCACCATGCCATTCCACTGCAGCCCCAGCTCTAGTCCCTGCACATGGGGCAACCAGACAACATGTTGAAGGCAGAAGGCGTGGAAAGGGGCAGGGGGAGAACCAAGGGGAAAGTAGGGCAGAGGAGAGGACGGGGCTTGTACTGAGGGATGGAGGGGGTCAGAACAGGAGAAGAAAGGGGGAAGGCACTAAGGGGCAGGGTGGAGGAGAGAGGAAAAATGCCAGGGGGCCAAGACGTGACAATGAGGGCAAATAGCAGGGGGGAAGGTGTCAGTGGGGGTGGAAGAAGGGAGGGGACAGAGTGATGCTGGGAGAGGAAAGGGAATGGGTGCAAGAGGAAGGAGAGGGGAGGAGTGGGTGCAGGGTGAAAGGTTGAAAAGAGGTGTGGGCATGAGGAAGGCAGGGGATGGAGCAAGTCATGTGAGGGCACAGAGGGGCATCAGGAGAACTGGTGCAGAGGTTGGTGAGGGGATGGGCACCAGGGAAGAAGGGAGCAAGGCGGGCAGGTGTTGGAAGGGGAAGGCACCAGGAGAGTGCAGGGGGTAATGTGTAGGTGCCAGGGAGATTGTGGGGAAGAACCAGAAGGGCAGACACAGGGAGGGGAGGGATGGGCACCAGAGGGCAAAAGAGAGAGGCAGTATAGGTGGGTAGAGGGAGGTGTTAGGAGAGAGCATGGGGAGGGGTAGCTACAGATCAGAGTGGGGCTAGAGGAGGGGGGGCACAGGGGAAAGGGAAGAGCAGGTGCAGAGGTCAAGGAGGATGTGGAGGGGGAAAAGTCCCAGGAGGGCTGAGGGGAGTTAGAAAGGCAGGAGCCAGGACAACAGACGAGGGTGGGGGGCAGCAGCAGGTACCAGGGGAGCAGATGGGGTGAGGAAAGGGTGAGAGACATAGCAGCAGAGGGAAAAGGAAGAGATGGGTGACAGGCAGCAGCAGAGGGAAAAGGAAGAGATGGGTGACAGGCAGCAGAAGGGAGATGAAATGGTAGGTGAGGTCCAAGGTGCAGAGGGTG